TGCGTGCAAATTCAAGCGCTCAGCATTTGGTGCATTAGTTTCCTTTGTACACCATATAGCCAAATCCCTCAATGATTCCAGCTAGTCAGTTAGATGTGCTTTCCTAGACTACACGTGGACCTTTGACAGTGTATCACACTCGCTTCTTATCAAAACACTAGAATCACTTGGCTGCTCCGCATACGTACTAAGATGGTTGAAGGACTTTTTCGCTGGGAGAATACAAAGCACCAAAGTAGGCAGAAATGTCTCCCGGTGTACTTCAAGGCGATGTTCTTATTCCATATTTGTTTCCAACATTCAGTAGTGATTTACCTGTCTTCCACCCAGTCCGCATCTTTAAATTTGCTGATGACGTTAGCTTGGCTAGGTCTGTCTTAAATAAATCATACTTCGACAAATTCATAGGAAAGCTTTCACATATTAAAAGCTTTCCTATTCAATCTGGTCTTCTGTTAAACAAAATTAAGTGTCAAGGGTGATTTTCTTCCATCACGGGTTCTCGATTTATTGAAGACACTTTTACCATTAATTCTATTCCCCTCGCATGTACGAACCACGTTAAATTTCTTGGTGTTACGCTGGAGCATAATCTGCATCGGTCTTTGCATGTTGAAATAACAGTAGGAAAACTGCGCCGCTTGTATTATCGAATAAGAAAAATACGGCAATTTAGTGCCCGCAGTCTGTTATTTCCCTTGTCGTACGACAATGTATATTGCTTATCATTCCTTATTGTTCCCTTGTCATTTTCCCAGGATTACTAACAAAGTACTTCGTCAATCTTCGCAGACGCTTGATCATCATTAGTCTTGTTTCTGGTATAGCCTTAATTCTTGGAGCTATGCATTAGCCACATAGCAGCATCCTTTGCTTTTGGACAGAAAATCCTCTATGATACTTCGCACCCATTGTATTTTGAATTTACTCCTTGTCAGTGTCCTACGCTAACACTGGAACGACGAGAGAAAAGAACACTGACACGACTCCGGAATTGAGAGACCCAAAAAACCGATCCAACTGCATCCAAAATCCAATAATGTGGCCCTTTCAAAGATACGAAAGTCAATTGGGGCAAAATGGAGTGCAAGTGTGAAACACCAATTTGGACCCACCGCATAATTGCTAAAAAAATCTTTCGGCACTTTTCATTAATTTATGTTACCTACTAGTATTCAAACAATGAAATAATTCGAAAACTTAATAGTTCTTTACTCAGAATAATAAACTAGTATCATGAAATATCAAGAGATCGCGTGCATGGGGTTACACGTGATGTTGCTGCATCTATAGAACAGTCTTGGAAGTGGTGAGAACGTTATCCGTTGTGAGATTGCCGAATTTGTACTACAAACGGTCCATCAATCTTAAAATAATGTTTTTACCGGGAGATCAACCACAAATTCGCTCCTTACGAAATGCTTCCAGATATGGCTGCATGGTGTAAACATAACTTTGTATCTACAAGCACCCACAATACGACTACATATTTACCTGGCCTATTTGGCAGGTGTGTTATTAGTTTGCTCCTGTGATTTGCCGAATATGTGATGCATGCTAGATCAAATCTGTCACGGTTTATTACTCACTGAAACAGATGAGATCCACTTTGCATTCTGTAGGGAAAAACCAATCAGATATTATATATATATATATATATATATATATATATATATATATATATATATATGTCAGCGCACTTTTTAATCCAGAGGAAGCCTCAAGATCGTTCATCGGTAACGAGAGTCTTATACATTTTCCTGTGAAATTTTACAGTTATCTGTAACACTGGCAATTCCCTTGGATCTATGCTATATGCGTCTTTGATTGATCATCTTGTCCACCTAAACTTCGTCACTATTCAACTCGGAATTTTTTAGAAAGACGATCCTAAAATAATGCCGCTGCCATCAATGTTTACGCCTGGTATTCCCATGTTGGCTTTATTTTCAACCGCGTCTTGTGGTGATCACTTTTCCTCCGGTTTCTCGATATTGACCCTCCAGATATCCAGTCGGTGCGCCCTCGCATCCATTTCTACACGTCACGACTCCTTTTTCGATCTTTCTTTCATACTAATCAACTGTACACCAAATTCCGTAGATCGATATGGTCCATTCTCGTCTACCGGATTCGTTGCAGTCAATTTTCGGCACCCCATAATGCACATTGTGTATTATTCTAGCCTCACCTTCATGTTTCATGCTTTGACATCCGCCACCCGTTGCTTCATCGTTTCTTGTATACACTGCACCTTTAGCATCCTTTAAAATCGCTTTTACCAGAATTCGCACGCTTGGCTAGATATGCACAAAGTCTTTTCCTGACTTCGGAACAGATTTAAAACTGCCGTGCTAGCCATCTCTACTTCAGTTCACTCAAACACTGCCCAGCCTCATTGTACTATCACTGCAATTGAGTGAATCTGACATTTCAAATTTGTGTAAACCTTGCACTGATGTGTATTGCATCATCATCACTATCAGCATCGAGTTATCCTAACCGTTAGCTCTATCTTAGCTTGTAAATTTCGGTTTCACCATGGATGAATAACTCGACTAAACAAATCGACGACAATTAGTTACTTGTTTACAAGTTACTGATAAATTAGTTAAATTTATCTTCTATGAACGACTGGAGAGACGTCAGAGAGTGTTTCTTTTTTTCATAAAATGTTCTTGTGAAGTCAAGGATGCAAGTTTTCCGGATTCAGTTAGCGTTTTGCTTTGCTGATCATGGGTCGGTCAATGAAACCCACCAATTTGCCAGCCTCGTCGGCTCCATCATCCACAACATATCTGCAGAAGCTCTATATAAAGGATACTCAAACCCCAATGATGGCAGGTTGAATGGGTCAGGTGATCATATCCCAGGATTAACTGGGCAGTTTTACACACTCACACAAATGCAAGTACAAACGTGCTTTGTGTTTGTTGTCGAAAATTACTGCTGACAATATAATGCATTCAGCTTCTCGGTACCATGATACAGTTTACGAGTCGACGTTATTGTAACCACTCTTGGAGCAATTCCTGTGTAATTACTTCGGTTACTGGTACGAACTGCTAAATATTCACCCAGGTAGATGCATTCGGCTCGACTTGACTCGCCTGAAGTACTCTGTTAGACATGAACATTATTCGCCCAAGTTCTCCCTGATGGAAATCCGGTTGTCCTCAATGAGGTTTTCGATGAAAACAGGAATGCAACATTTCGTTTGCTCTGTACGTTGGTGAAACACGCATAATTAAAATATCAGTCAGCCCATTACAATTTGATGCCTCATATCCTCGAGAAAATGTTATCACAACCACACAGTCATAGTGGCTTGGTCCAGGTAGGGAGCTGTAACGAAGCTTTGAATTCTGCGTGAACCTGACGGAGCAGTGTTGAGAAATTTTAGTGTGGAAATCCTCAGAACTCTACTGATTTTCGGCCCTCAACAGTGTAGCGATTTCATCCTGGTTACCACATGTAGGAAACAGAGTACAACAAGGAACTGAGTAGATCTCGGGAGATGGATTTGATGGGGATTATTTTTCGTATTTCAGTGATAATAATTTTCAGGTAAATAATAACACTATATAAATATTCCGAATTTGTGAGGAAGTATGAAAGTGGGTCTCTAACTTTGCCGTTCTCATAGGTGAGTAAATGTGAACTAAAATTGCATGGATTTTTGGAACGATGAACAGTGAGGTAAACAGACATGTTTCGATAGATGAACAAACAGATCCAGAGTTTTATTACCCTAGATATATTGCTTCTCATTCACTGTTCAGCTTCTCCAAATCCAAATGTGAGAATATTTCATCAGATGTTAAATATGTTTATTCATTAAGTTTGGTGAAATTATTCATTCAGAAACATCAAGCGATTCGCATTGCATAATTTTCAAGCAAAACATAACCAATCAATCACAAGTGCTGAATATTGCTTGCAGAATCACATTTGTGTCGTAGCCTTGTTCACATAATCGGTCGAGTTTCGCCAGTTCTTTTGCAACTTCTGGCACCTGAAAAAGGTGATCAGACAAAAACATGAGAGCACCCTGAACTACCATATGTCATGAGTAAATTTCCACCATTCTCTAAAGTCATATAACTAGTCTCTAATTAGCTCAGACGTTTTTGTTCAACATTCAGATATTTACCACAACATTTTGTACTTTTTCTGCGAACTATTATCAATAGGAAGTCACACTTGTTGGTTTCAGCTGATAAAATACTCCGAGTTACAACACCGATATATATCCGCAGAAAATGGACATAGCTGTTTCAGTAGAAACAACGAAATAGAACAACCAATAAAATATCGTCATGTGTTTATTCTGCGAGACCATTTGGAGTCACACGTTCATGGCAATCTAATCAAATTGCCACCTACACACAACAACCGGCCTGAGTGATCTAAAATGCTTGCAGTTTGATGGACGCTGTTCTTCTATTGTAGTCCACACGGTGGAGAGCATTCTTCACCAAACAGTTTACCTTTAATTCATTTTTCAGCTCATAAATGAGCACAAAGTGTTTCAACGGGTATTGATTCTGTTTTGCAGAATCATGTTCTTATTTCACTTCGTCTGCTTTTCCACTCCACACGGGCCAGGTTCGGTCCTGTTGACATTTGTCTCTTTCCCTTCAGTTGTGCATTGTACGCATGGCTCGGTTCACGCCGATTTGATAGATCACGCGGTCAATCAGAAGGATGCACGGGCACGTCGTTTGCTACGTGAACGCAGACTTCTCATCCAGTTCGCTTGTGTACACATTGACAGCTCTTCTTCCGTTGGGCCAACACATAGACACACACACACTCAGCTGTTTGCTTATCTCAGGCCACTTCGTGTGGGTCCTGATTTTATTCATCGAATGGTTCTCGTTTTTGATCCACTTGTTACACACATGCATTCGCGCACGCATCCATCTGTGTGCTTGCTGCTTCGTCACCTGTGCACGCACTACACGCCTTCTGATCGATTGTCTCCCATGTACAGTTGATCAGCCTCGGTGTGTCACCAGGTGACCCGCATGTGAGCGATCATTCTTTCGATAGCTTCCCCCTCTGATGCAGCTAATAGATGTTTTATTTAACTGGGACAGAGCAGCAAATGTCTTATCCCCTGGACACACTATTTCAGTGACTTTATGTAACGTGAACGACTAGATAACACAACTTGAGGTTTGTACAATTTATCGAATTAGAAATTTACGTGAATAATAGTACCCTACAAGACGACAGTTTCGGTTTTCATTGGACTGGAATCGAGACTTTGCGCGTAATTCCATTGTTTGGTCGAGACCGGGAATTGTTATGGTCAGACAGTCCAATTTCGCAGGAGGAATTAACAACGGGCAACCTCAAGCACCGTTTCCGAAGGGATTAATCGTCAGTGAAAAAGTATATTAATTCACAGTTCTCTTAAAATCAAGAATAAATCATACTATGAATTCAAACGATATCCATCCAACCAAACTTACTTTTTGGGTAAAAATGGTGTTTTAAGTAAAGGGAAAAAGGATATATTTAAATTTTAGTGACCCACTTGTTGAATACTGAAGCACTTGATTTTGTACTGATCGTATACGTTTTGATAGCAATCCAGATGCTCGTGCACATCACTTGGTTTACCTGAGGGTGCGCTCTTGGAAGTAACCTCTTCCACAATCTCATCCACAGTCTCTTTGACCATTTGACCCAACTGAAAACAGGACAGTGATTGCGAGAATGTTGTGCAGTTCATGGCAGGCAGGATTTGTTTGAAATGTAACTACCAATGATTTCATTTGTGCTACCTAGGAAATTATGTGAATACTTGCAACCCATCTTGATAGGTCCAGTCCATTCAAAATAATGCGCATTCTTGAGAAACACCATAAGATGACCACCCGCAGTGCTCGTTGTGGATGATTCAAAAATGAGCTGGATTACACTATTCACTTTTCCGCTTGAAACCTCAACTGTAATGTCTGCAGAATGTATACTGATAAAGATCTCTTTATCACTGTTGGAGCATTGGTGGTTTTGAACGCCTACCATGTGGGCAAAGAATTCTCACTGATAAAAAGAATTCACATTTCTTACACTAGATCTAATCACACTGGTGTTGTGAACGTATTGACTAGTAGACATTTACCTTCAGAGTGCGGTGCAAGCGTCGTTGTGCCAGTTCCATTTGTTTCGGCGATTTTGATCTCCTCAGTTGGTGCATCAAAGGAATCAAGTGTGCATGACTGGCCATTGATCTATCCCGAGTCGCCATTGACTTTCGGAAATGAAAATGATCCCCGATTTCGATGCAATTAGGTTTGGTTGGGGATTTATCATTGGAAATATCAATATGATGAGAAAAATAGAATATCACGGTTGTATGCTTATTTCGTTCATCGAGGAGATTCACTGCTTGTCTCCCAGAATAATGTATAACTAATCTGAATCACCTTATTCTCATCCGTAATTCTATTTAAATACCCAACTGGCTTACTTTCCTTGTTCAACGAGAATGTTTCCTGTAAATTATTCAAATCCTTGCTTTGTTTTCTATTGTTGGAGGCTGCCAACTATGTCATATATCATTGCCTGAACGTACAAGTACACACAATTTCGTTGTTATTTAGTGAATACCCATTGGAAACCACAATAACTTTATATTATTGTTCCTAGGATATATATATATATTTATATATATATATATATATCCATCGAATTAATCACAGTAAATGACCAATAAATATAGCGTTCGCAGAATTTTACTATTCTCAGTTTACTTTAGACTCATCAAACCAAGACCGATTTTATTGTACTTAAAGCATTGTGGTGCAAATGATCACATACACGCATGCATTCAACTGAAGGCAGAGGAATTTTCTTCTTGGAAATGGATGAATAATCGGAAACAATATGATCAGCTGATTTCTGCTGACTGAACGAAGGGAGATCCCGACACTGTAGGGCTTGGATTGATCTGTTTGTGCACAATGAGCCGCATCGATAATAGCGAAAACAGAAGATTCTAAACGAGTTAATCGATCAAATTTTCAAAGCATACGGAGGACAAGAATTCACTAGGAAATATTTTGGTGGAATATAATGCAGCACCCCATGAGAACTTGTTTATAAGGGGTATTATTGATCATAATAACAAGTAGAGGATGCCCTCCGTGAGATTTTGGAAAAGAATTCTAAACACATCTTTCTTGGACTGTCCCCATTGCACACATCCTTTAGCAAACCAGGAAGATGAGGGGGAAATAATCGAGTTTGAGTGGAACGGAATTATTGTTTTGAAAATTTCAGTTGATTCAATATTATGTCAGCACATGAGGAAAAGTTTCTCATTCTCAGATAGAAATGTGCAGAATTATATTTTATAGATTTCCCGTTTTCAGTGAAACTTGAAACTTCACGTTCAGTAACTTACACTGTCTCCATTAAATCCACTTGAACCAACATGTGTACTATTGGCTTGGAACTCTCCAACTGGAAGGAATGATACTTTCTGGAGGCAAAGTTGAACATTAAAACATGATTCACCGAAAATGAACTATCCACAAATTCGAGGCGATAAATTCCTAAGCTTTTATCTGGGACGTATTACTTCACACATATTTTCAAATGAATAAATGTACTACTGATTGAACAATTCGTAGTTACGACCACAAAATCAACCACTTATTGAAATACTCAAACAAATGAATCTGTATTCGATCGATGGTTGTCTCGGATACTAAATGATCATTAGATTTTAGTTAACATTCAGTGTAGATCTTTGCAATCGGTTCTTTCAGCTGACTTGCGAAAACTTTATCCCATATCTGAATACTGATTGCGGGCATGTTTAGCACCGGTTCTATGAGGAAATATGACGAAAGATAGGGCACACCAACCAAAAATGTACACAAGATGACCGTTATTTTTGATGGCCCAACTTGAAAAAAGAGTAGTAACTTGTTAGGTACGTTGATGAGGTCGCTCCAACGCACAATCCTGCATTATTTTTAACACCTGTATTTAGTTTTTGAAATATTTAAACACAGGCTTATTTGAGTCACGCCTCGTGGCTGTCTGGTTAAACATGCGTTCAACATGATTCGAGGATTGATCAATCAACTAATAAGTTTGTGATCCGACTGGCTATCAGAAAAATACAACCATTGCTTCATACCCTGGAATTCAGCTCCCACTACTCAGATAGGACTCGTAGCCGGCCAACATAACGAACCAAACTACTGATATGAGCTACTTATATTACTTCGCACTAACAAAAAATGTCATGTGTTTCTTTGAGAGTGGAAAAACGAAATAATGCTAAATGAATAATTATAATTTCCGCATACGAACAGCTCAGTCTTGCAATACCATCAGATCTATGAAAAATGCATGGGCTCAGCGCCAAAATCGGAGACTACTTAACACAAAACTTTAGTTTTGGTATAGAAAGCAAGAAATAACTGATCACGTGTCTGATCCGAATAATCATATGAAAACATGCGTTTTATTGGTCATTTATCTAAACGACTATCGAAATGACTCACTATATCACCGTATTCCATCACATGACTCCTTTTCACGGCCAGCATAACACTGAGGTATTGATCAAGCATTGATCGATTGAACAATTGACCCCGATGCTAGACGGTTGTTGACGAATGGAAAATATAATTGAAAACTTGATCAGTAAGAATGTCTCTGCGTTGCGGTTTTATCAGACTTAGATAGATTGGTATATGCGTCTGTCCTTATTTAATGTTTAACTACTGACCTTCTGTGCTAAGAGATGCATTCAACTACGAGTGAGTCTAAATCCAATGAGAGAAAAAATGTAACGAGATGCAGTAAATTTGATCACGTTCCTCGAGTGTGAAACTAGAATCCATGAATATAAGCAACCAACCAGGTTGACTAAACAACTCTTCTTCTACATCCCGCACGTCCTGTCAAGACATCTTAAATAATGGCTGTCTTGTATTACTTTCGAGATCAAGGCTATTAAGTCAAACACTTATAATCCGCAAAGTATTTGTTCGATTTCTGCTCTGTGTAAGACTACTTGCATTACTGAGAAAATCTGTCTCAAATGACCGGTTCTCTAATCATGTTCATCTTCAATTTTCACCTAAATAATGAGGTGTATTGAGCTGAAGAATAAATCATTCAGGTTCCTAATGCCAATCCAGGCCTCTGCATTCAAAAAATTGACCCACTTGAAATAGCGAAGCATTTTGCAACACTATATTGCCTGCTCTATCAGTGCCAATGTGACGAATAATGCAACCCAGTTTAATAAAGATCCAATAACCTATTTCTCAACCCATTATTTTACAAACAGCGATCACTATCGTAGAATTTTATTGCTCAATAACACAGCTTAGTCGAAATCGGTTGTAAAACCAGTCGTGAAAAAAGTTACCCGTGGTGACCGAAACGTCGACAACTTACCAACGATTTCAACTACGCCGTGCTATTGAGCAATAAAATCCTACCATAACATTTCACATGGCGCATCGATTTTTCGATGCACACCGAACTGATCTCGGTTCTGATACATTAAGTGATCACTATCGCCTCAACGTTAGTCAAGGCAAAATCATACAAACGAAAGTTGGATTATTGTAACAAAACGAAGGTCCAAAAAATACATTCTACAATATAAAATTCAAATATGGGATGTGCTATATATATTTTATGTTGAAGTTGTTGAGCTAACTCTTTCGTATTGATAATCATACACAGCATATGTTAGAAGTGAGCCAGCATTACGTACAAAAGACTAGGTTAAATCCTATGATATACTGCTGATTCAATATTGTCCTCCAATTGCTTTCATACCAGTCAACCACTCATGCAACCAGTTTTCTCTCTATGTGATTGTTGTAATATGGAATAATATACTGGATTATGAGGTGCCGAACTTGTGGTGAGGAGCAGTGATGAGGTTAGAACCCGAAATACAGACATGTAAAGCTACACACGAGTACCACTGGCACACTATCAATTTCGTTTTGGAAGCCACTGGGTAACGCTACCTAATCTCCGATCGGTATGAATTGCGGGTGACCTCACATCTTCTATATTCCATTTATACGGTCATCTTTGGGCACTTCTTTGAATGGAATGTATGATTCCATTTTATGCCCTTTCATAAACAATCCATGAATGCCTTGTACAACAGAGACTGCACAGTTCCCACATCTTGTTCCATTTTGCCGACTCAGATTGCATTTAGCTAGGGAAATTATTATCGGGCACTAAACGGTCGAGAAATATGTAAGTCATCTGAATTAGGGAAAATTTCGAAAAAGGTGCCGCAAAAAAATGTTTACTTACAGCTGATTGATGCTTTGCCCAACGGAATTCAAATCATGATGTTCGTGCCTGACGAACACTTATAATTCCCACGAGAGCACCTAACGGATTATTACCCGTTCACTTTAAACTTATTCACAGAACGGCGGACGGATTCCCTGAGTATCTAGTTGCATATTTGCTTATTATCGTTTATGTGCGTTCGGTGAAATTACAATTCAACGGAGGGAATAAAACACGCCAATCTATGCCATTACACTTACCTTTTCCGTGTCACTCATCCACTGGTAAGAGAATTCATCGGATAGACAAGTAGTGATCGCGGGATCCTCACAGAATGTGGCCCAGCTTGATTCAGTTGGATTGGCAGCGGTCACAGCCCAAACTGAAATAAAGAAGTGGAAGTCCAATAAAGGCGTATAAATCATTGAGAGAACTACTTCATTACTGAATGTTGCATCAGATGTCGTTTGTTGCCGAAGTGAATAGTGTGCATATTCCAACAAATCATTTCAAATGATATGAATTTCAACTATGTTGATGATTCAGGACGGTTCTATACAAGCTGTTTGATAGCAAGTCATTCAGTCAAGTGTTACACTGAGTATTCAGAACACTCACTATCGATGTTTTTGGGAAGAATCCACCGAAACATGGACCCTGAGTTGCAAGCCTCTATGTAGATGACCATTTTTTTGAACCGCTTTTCTCTGTACATATTGGCCAGCGTTTTGTTCAATTGTTTTGCATACAGCTACAATTCATTTTCAGACGAACATGAAAATAATGAAGTATAATGGAATTATTGGCTATCAATTCAAAAACGGTATGGAATTTGTAATGACCAGAAATGGTCTCAAATGTAATCAATCAGTATATTTAAGAGATCCAAGTAGACAGAATATTTGGAGTGATATTAGTACTTCAAAAGTTTTGTAGTTGAAATAATCAAAGTTTTGTAGTTGAAATAATCAAAGTTTTGTCGATTGATGCGACAGACGCTGGGTAGCCCAGTAGCATAGGTCTATTCCACAACATGAAATCAACGTGTATGAATGGTGATTCGGTGTTAGTAATAGCACAATGTGTGAATGGGGGAAGTTTCGTTGATAGGGCACGTGATATTAATCCGATAATGTGTGCAGCGAATTTCCTGTCTCAACCAGTGTTTCTCATATGGTAGATACACCAACTATTGTTTTATTTTGTTCACACTTGTTCCACATGAATTGAATTTCCTGTAGTGTAGCAGAATTATGCCCCAACTAAAGAATCATTCATCACAGTTGCCTGAGATAGCCAACGTCGCATGTGCGAACATGTAGCGTATAGGTTGTTTCAGTGAACAGTACAGAAGATCAACACTGCGACAGGAATTACTTTCATACACCCTATTCGATCGCGTACGCATAAAGCTGCTTTAATTATTCATTTCGTTTCACCCCGTTATTATTTTTCTCACTGGATTTTATGCGTAAGCAACCGATGAGAGTATACAAAAGGAAGTCCTCTCGCGATGTTTGTCTTCTAAATTGTTAATTCAAATTCACCACGGGATCTAAATGTTCCGTCTGGTTAGTTGTTTATTAACGTAGATCTGAATCGCAGCGAGTTGCGCAAACAATCGTTTTGGGTGTACATCAAAACGACAACAAATCAAGATTCATCAAGACTGTCATCTCAAATGTGCCGTATGCGTGTACAAAATCACTCAATTGATAAGGTACACGATTTTTGCTTTCAGACCACTTAAATCGCACAGTCGCGTCTTCACAAACTGAGTGACGGAGTGTTCAGGTGCACTTGATGAACACGAACGGATCAATTCAGATAATGTTATTTGGGACTCATACCGAGCAGCGAACGAGGGTGGCTCTTGGTGATCCGATCAAATTTACCTTTGTCGTGTGAATTGAGACAACTTTGAACCATAAGTGAAATAAGTCAGAGAGAAGAAGCCCTCTGAATAAGTGATGCATGAGATAGAACAAGAATATTCGAAATTCAAAATCTGTCATCTAAGTTTCGTTTGTTCAGCAAAAGTCCTGTCTTATTATTTCTTGTAGTTCATTTTGGCTACCCCACAAAGTGTGACTATATATCTGTTGGGAAATTTCTCCACATGTGCATTAGAAAATAAAAAGGTACTATGTCATAAAAGTAATAGAAGACCGGTCTCTGAGGATGCACAGATTAATCCTAAGCAAACATCTTGCGATAGATCCATTCATAGTATGAAAACAACTGCTTGTGCTTCCTACGCTGGACACAGCTTTATATTCACATGGACGAACTAGGACTTTTGATTTGATATTTTGTTCCTTTTTCATGAAAAATGGTTTTATTTTTGTATATTTGAGTGGAATCCGCTCAGTGGTGCTAGATGGGTCTCAAACCGCAAGATCCCTTACCTGTAGTGTAGTTCTCTCAATGTGTAATCTTTAGTCCTATCAATAAGAGAATCACCGTAGACTTTGGAGTGAATGAAGGAAAACTAGTTGTATTTTGGTACAGTACAATTCAGGATGGATGTCCCCAGGCTATGACATTACTACTGTACCCGAAAGCTTCTTGGAATGTTACCATGCAACCGTGCGTTTCAAGAAGCCTGTGATGAGGAAGTCCTACTCACTGCGTTCTCTTGGCAGAGGTGTTTTTCATCACAATGTGAGGACGTAGACGAATACTCGGCGCTCTCTACCAGGTTGACTGATATTCAATTTAGTGGAGTTGGCCGGATCCCGATTCTGAATAAACCATGGGGGTTGTACGAATCATTCAGCATTGTGCTCACTGGATTCCGTGACAGAGGGGTTTACTGAGCAAAAGGAGTATTTGGCCTCATCCAAAAGGTTATCAGTTGAGTGATCATCGGCTCCCAGCGGGCTTCGAATTCCGCGCTTCGTTCGCTGCCTTGCGAGTTCAGCTTTGTAAAACTAAGGGCTTTGGTTGTAGACATCTTATAAAGCCACCTGTTCTAACCTGGACACCCTAGAAGTAATGCACTCGAAAAAGGGAACATCAACTATCACAAAAATTCGCCTTTCTGTCACACTCTCTCACGATACTTGTCTGATTCAAGGTTAAATACTGATCCACCATCACACTCAGCAGCTCTTCTGCCTCTCTCCACCTCTTCATCTGTGTTATTTTCCGGCCACTGAAAAAACCCCACCACAGAGGTTGATTGCGATCAAACTTCCACTAGAACAGTTCCCTCAAGTACTCCCGCAATAAATCACATCCCACAGCCCAGCTTTCCTCAACCCACCGTCCGATTCGAATTGATTAAATTCAATGCACTCACACTTATGGAAATCGGGCAACAGGCTAGTCTGGCTCGAACACTAGAATCGTTCTCAATCGATATTTGCTGCATGTTAGAGACAAGACTGCACGATGCAAGCTCCACGATTACAATAACATCTCTTACTGGTACTAGTACCAAGTTCCATCTAAGCTTATTTGAGAAAGACCGACACAGCAGCAGGTCGGTCAGGCCGGTGTTGGAATTGCCCCGAGTCCTAGAGCTGAGAAGGTCGTGGCAGACTGGATTACTCTCAATAGCCGACTTTGCGTAGTCCGACTCCAAGGTTCTTGCCGAGTGACTAGACATCGAGGTTGCACAATATAAGTTTACGATTTGGAGTTTGAGGATTTCGAAACATGTCCGCTAAAATATTACCATTTTTAACGACCCTCTAGTATCGGAGGCCTATTAGACAAAGCTGATCCAGACACCTGAATCCACTGCTCCGCCTGATGTTGACGATCTCTGACAGCAACTGCAAGAAGCCTTAATGAATAATTATCTGGCCAATTTTCAGTACTGTCCGCCACATTCATGGATTTTGGATTTCTTCAAATATCTTTTCATTGCTTGCTTGCCGCAAGCCTGTTATGAAAGATTTTGATAGAATAAAAGGCTTTAGAATCTCGGGGCAAGTCAACAATTATATCTATATTTCAAATGCGTGACCAAGCAATACTTTCCCGTCGTCGAGGAGTATGTCTGATCATCGTCGCTTCGAAACTCCAAGTGTTTGCTATCTACCACCGACATTCTCCTTTGCGCGAGCCCCAATGTCGTGAATAACAAGCTAGTTTCCGTTCCAACCGCAGCTGAGCAGATCAAATCTCAACCCTTCACCTAAAGCTTGAACACCGCTATGTTTGTCGAAGGCAAACCATCCTTCTATCACTGTGTATCATGGCTGTCTTTGACTGTGCCCATAGGTCCGCCCTTTGGATCTGTGTTTTGGGGGATGGCGTGCCAGAAAAGTATTTTTTCATCGTAAATGCTCTCTATCCGCAGATTTTTCTCAGGGTAAGGGTTTATCGACAACTATTTCAGTACTCTGTTGTCTCAAACAAGGAAAACTTCTTTTTCCATTCTTCGTCAATTTCTTTGTGGACGATCTGCTCTGAGGAACCTTTGATGGTATTCCAAAAGTTGGGGTGGAACTTCTACCGGACACCACAGTTGTTGATTCAGATTATGCTGACGAAGTTACAGTGTCGGAAGACAACACCAAAGGTACCTTAAACCAATTGGTCTCCGAAGTCGCTGAGTTTGGCATACGTTGTTTCAACCATGGTAAAATGATTATTAAAGAAAGGCAAGGAGATCTTCCTACATTCGATATCTGTGGAGAGTGTTTGAAAACTGTCATAGCTTTGGGTACAGTGGAACTTGTATTTCTACCGGTGAAGTATCGGAAACGAAGTCCTGCTACTGCATCTTTAGGGCTTGTTTGGCTTTTACCAATTTAAAGCGCCCGTGGCATCGCTACGGTATCAGGCCTTCTCTGAGAGATGGTCTCCCAGGCCACAGTTTTCTCGGTGCTCCTTCAGGGCTGCAAAACTTGGCTAGTTCATGAGTATCTGCGCCGGCTGACCGTGTTCGACCACAAGTGTTTACGATCAATGGGACGAGTGTAGTGCCAGTCTCGTGTCAGCAATTGCGAAGTGCTGAGACGAGTATTTTGAGTGAATGTTGAGCCACTTAGAAGAACTGTTTCCCCTTTTCATCAAAAACGGCTAGACTAAGTCTTGCACATATCCACACAATGTTTAAAACATCCTACCCACCCTATTCGCCCTCCATGGAAATGACTGGAAGCGGTGGCATGGCAGACAAGATAACACCTAGAGAAGGAGTTTAAGCAAATAGATTTCCAGCTTAGCCAAAGTGGAGCACTTTCGTTTACCAGGTTGAAGCAAGAGTGACATTGGATGGAATTTGTTTGTGACGCTTATGATGATGATCGAAATCCTGAGCCAGTGGTCCCAACACCGGTTAGGATACTATCCTGATTACTCATCCTTCCAATTCCATGCATAAAAACAACAAAAAATACAAAAGTAAACCAAAGTATTTCATCTGATAAGACGTACGTACAACGAACAAAATATTTGCAAATATTCTATTCTTCATGTATTCGCAAATTGTTTCCCTACTAAACTATAATCTCGTTGACACGTTATATCTACGGAATTTATATATATATATATATATATATATATATATATATATATATATATATATAGTGAGTTATGTCTACTGGACTATCAAAATGAAATACCTAGTTGATATTCTTCAAGTGCATCGGTTCATCGATCAAAGAATTGGGATAAAAATGGCACTTTCAAATTCACCAGCCAGCCCCATCAGAGATATCTTTCTTGCACGTTTAGCTGGAAGAAATATATAAAGGCACCACCTAAAGGGCTTGATTTTCTGATCGAGTTCGTTAGTTAGATCTCAAGACGTAAGCTATCCTCAGTTCATCAAGACTGTTGTTTGTTATCGCAAATAAGGCACACAGGGAAAATAAACTAACCAGTCCCTTTGGAAAAGTTAACAAGTTGGGGGCCCCGTGATCACTGTAGTAAATAAACACGTTGTCCTCCGGTCCACTGGAAAGGATTTTGAAATGGAGATTACTCGTAAAGCGATGGATCAAACAAGAATGAATATGTACAGAGAGTTCAAGATGTGATTTTCTGATTTCGAGATATTCTCCAGTGAGTTAAATTTATGCTGCAGAAACAATTACCAATATAATTTTCAGAAAACTTGCCGTAATGATGTTAGCAAACCAATTTTAAACAAAACTGCAAGTTCTGGATTTGCAAGTGGACTTTTGCATATATATCTTACAAATTTCTTCTATTTCAGTGTTATAGCCAGAAGTTGATGCCCATTTTGCTCATGAAAGAACTAAGTTTCATCTGTCATTCCGTGAATGGTGTTACCAGAAGACAAATCAATATTGGTCTAATGGTTATATGTTTTAATTGTCCGAATAGTCCCACAGGGCACATGGTGAACAAGCTCGTTTTCAGTGATTCGTAATCATGCCATTACATCACATTTTATATAAACAGTGTTAGGTGAACAAAAAGGAAGTCAAGATAAGGCGATGAGTTGTAGGTGAACATATGATCTCGGCGATTTCATTCTCAAGCCATTACAATCACATTTATATGAAAACGAGTTATTAAGAAGAGGTGGAAAAAGTCCCACTAAGTCAGTGCGGAGAATTATGGGTGAGGAAGGATGGAAACCCGTGTGAGTGACCAGATTATGTAACCGGTGCTAATTAGCTTACGTCACCGCTAAGCCCGGCTTTGTAACACAGTTGAGTGTTGGCCATGGGAGTTGTAGTGCTCGGACTAATTTTCGTTGCGCTCAAAGCTCAGGCTTCAAGAGGCGAATGATAATTGCCTCGGCAGTTACTAGTATCCGGAGCCTAATTGCTCTTGACACGTGTTGTGGGACCCGGTAGACGACTTTGAAGGCGGACTGGATGTCGATTGAATACCCAGTTTCTAACAAGTGCGAGACGATTGAACTTGATACTACTTCATTGCCTTCGTGTCTAAGCCATCGTGGGTGATGCTCCTTGATGCGTTTTGATAGCTGTCTTGCCGTTCGACCTATGTGAGTAGCACCACAGGTGCACCTGAATTGATAAATGATCATGGATGAGGTCAACAAAGGCAGCTTATCTTTATTTTCACATCGGATTATTGGTGACGTGAAAAACACGCATCTGATCTTGGCAGCGTTGAAGGTGGACTTAACCGTGGCACTCAAAATTTTACAGACTCTATCGGCTGCGACATCTCCCTTGAAGAGGAGTCGGATGAATAATACTTTCTTTTCTGCTTGTGTGATTCTCACTGGTTTTATCCGTTCGGTCCAGTTTCTTTGGATAAATTTCTCAGTATAACCGTTGCTAAGTAGCGTCTTCCTTATGTTTGACAGCTCGGCCTCCAGAGTATCTGCGGTGCAGATATGTTTTGCCCTGTGTATCAGATTACGTATCAGATTACGTTTGTAACCGAGTGGTACAAAACTGTGAAAGTTTGTGTACTGGCCATTCCAGGTGGCTTTCCGATACACTTTCCTCTGGATCGAGCCATCAGATCGTCTGATTAGGTGTATATCAAGAAACGGCAGGCAATTTTCTTCTTCCATCTCGGCGGTGAACCTGATTGCGGAGTGCGTAGTGTTAAATTCGCGTGATATATCATCTAAGTTGGTTTGCGCATCAGCTATGCAAAATATATCATCAACATATCGGTAGCAGTGGTCCAATCGACTTACTGTTCTGCGTAATGTTTGAGTTTCCAGTTTTGGCATGAAAATGTCAGCAAGAAGTGGTCCTAGAGGTGACCCCATAGCAACCCCATCCTTCTGGCGATAATAAATGATTGTAATGGCTTAAGAATGAAATCACCGAAAACATATGTTCGTCTAAAACTCGTGTTCTGAGTACTATGATGGGCTTATTCTGCAGTATAGGGCGATGAGTCAAAATTTGAGTGGGGGAGAGAGGATCAAATATCACATGCGTGGCCTCGATCCGTCTCTGGATCGTGATTGGGTGTCGGCGGTGTCATTAGTCGGATCAACGGATCTGCGGTTTGTTTGTGGGTAGGGCTGAGTCAAGGAAGCCTTAGCGGTTGCACGAACTGTTTTGGGCGCACAACGGGGGTTTGTAGGGACGAATGCATACCGCTTCTGCAGTGGCTAGAACACGGCACTTCATCAGTCTTGATTGCCCACTTCGGACTTTGTAGATTTGCCGGAATGCTTTGGTCACATTCACTGAATGGTTAAACTTAACAAGGTGTGAATACACAGCGCTCGTAGTTACATTGATCGCTCCAGTGTTCAACCAAGCTGAGTGGTGTTCACGGACGCGTTCGGATAAGTGTCTGGTCGTACGGCCAATGTACGTTGTCCCACAGGAACAAGTAAAGGAGTACACACAGAATGAGGCCATAGAATCTGACACCTTATCCTTTAATCGTAACTACACACACGGCTTTGATGTGAATACAATATGGAGCTTTGCCGTATAAAATGTTCTGTCGACGGCTTCTGATAATCTACGATGTATAATATCCCCTGGGATATCACCTTTGAAGGGCAGGCGAATGTATACTGACTTTTTTGGGACAACTGTGGCCTTCGCTCTTTCTTCCACTTGTCGCATTGTCTTATCAATGAAACGATCCAGATATCCGTTTTTCAGGAACACATTGCGCAGAGAACGAAGTTCGTTGTCCATTGTGTCCTCAGTACAAATTTTGAGTGCTGTATTAATCAGGCAACGGATTAAGTTGCGCTTAAGTTGGAGTGGGACGAAACTTTCGAAGTGAATGTAACGCCCATTCCACGTTGCTTTCCTGTGCACTGATCGTTGAGCTGAGCTATCCACTCGCCGGCTTAGGCACACATCTAGAAAGGCTATTTCATTGTATGCCTCTTTTTCCATCGTAAACTGCATATTAGGATGGGCTGTGCTGAATGTGTTTAACATAAAGTTTATGTCCATGGTGTCTTCCGCCACACACATTTTATCATCCACATAGCGTTTATAAAGCACACATTGCCTGATGGTGGACTGCAGTTGATTATTCCCAATTTTCGCCATGGAAACATCGGCGAATAGTGGTTCCATTGATACTCCCTCTTTTTGACGATAGATTTCGTCAATGAATTTAAATTGCACTTTAAACGTGCAAACAAAGAGGAGTTGTTTCATTTTGTCCACCGGAAGGCCCAAGTTCATGTTGTTTTCTTGAAAATAGTCGCACAGATCCGTTGATCCGACTAATGACACCGCAGTCACTCATTCATGGTCCAGAGACGGATCGAGGCCACGCATGTGACATTTGATTGCCTCTCCCCCACTTAAGTTTTGACTCATCGCCTTATCTGTTCATATAACATATGATGTAATGGCATAATATGTTACACTTGGAACTATAAATCAGGAATCAGTGTGAAATTGAACAAGTTTAAGAACAATTTATCGTGTTATTTTCTGTTGCAGTTCAATTTGCACCATTGGGTATTCTCTTCAAGCAATAGTTTTGTGTGTACATTATTGATACAGAAATGGAATCGTTCCCTTTTTCTCTAATAAGTTGCACCCTTCAGAATAACATATTTGAATCGGAAAAACATCATGTAGATCGTCATGTTGCTCGTTAAGATGTTCGTATTATCGAGTATTGTCAATATTTCTTACGATTCAAGTACTTTGAGTCCAGATTCTTTCAATTTCCGATCGCCTTCTAACACACGAAGGAACATGTCTGCTGTAACATTCTGTGAATTGAAAATAAGGACAAAGTTATCGCAAAGCAGATCCAAACATTTGTAGATATATGCAGACTCGAGTAAATAAATGAATAACTGACTAAATGAATAAGGTTTATCATAGTGTAAAGTGGTTTTGAGGTGACAGCTGAGATGCATATTATCCACCAATAAAACAATTTGAATGTATGTAAGCACTAAACTCAAATGGTGTGTAATTTTCACTACTTGAGTGGAAACGAGTAGAGAGAAGGCGTCCACAAAAATCGTTGTCGAACGAGTGATAAGGCTCCTCTCATCATTATAAATCATGCGAGTGCTATACACTTGTGTTGTCCTCATTATGATTACTCCCCATTGGTTCCGTAGTTTCAACTGGGAAGTTTAGCATTGTTACTACTTGACGAATGTTTTCATAATTTAGGGAAGCCCTTTTTCACTTACATTAAATTGGTTTTGATTTGTACGTTGTAGAAATCAGCAGAACAGTGTCATATAGACTGTACCTGTGTATCTTGATGGAAATATCGGTAGCTTTACACAGCCGGTAAGTGTAGCATTTTTCACTTCTTTATTCATAATCATAATCACAATCAAAAACAGTTCCTTACCAATCATTCATTTAATATTGAATTTTAAAATATCTGTTCACAACAGGATGATCTTGCAGTCTACTCGTCTCAATCACTGGTGTACAAACACCGTTCGCCGACTAATTTACTCAGATTCTTTTACTCAATATATATCGAGCAGAGATATCGATATCACGTTAAATCGAAAACGAGCACTTACTTCTCCCCGATAATTAATTTTCACTCCTGCGTAAACATCCTTGTGTTGATAATCGTTGAACAGTTTACCCGGGAACGGGTTGCTTTTAAACGAGATGAGTAGAAACAAGAGGAATTCAAACACTGTTCTAACTTATGATTAATTTAAACGCTCCTTCATTGCGTTTATCAGATCTACTTAGTTTGAATTCGGTCAAGACACAACCTGCACTCTAGTGTACACGAACGACAATATTTTGAATTTTGCTTGGTGTAATGGTACTGCCAGACAGGCCATGAATAAACGGTCTGGTTCAGTCAGCAGATAGCATACTATCGGCCGTCCAGGATCAGAGGCAAGTTCGAAGTCAGCTACGTAGAGAATACGATCGGCTGCCTAGAATCACAAGAAAGAATGGAGGCAGCCAACCGGATCAATGATCCAATCAGCTGCCAGCACTTTTCTGAACCGACCGGAGACGGATCAATCAATCAGGGTGAAACCAAACACATCAGCCTAAAGGACGGCATAAAAATATCAGTGGGTCAATAAGTTCTGATGCAAAGATTTGGTTATGATCATCCCACATATGTATTCTTTATCAATAAATTGATATGGTGCAAAGTCAGAAAATTCTCTCCACTGTAGTTAGTGATTGACTATGGAGCTCCTGGTGTATCGTGTGGAAAGGAAAATTTCTTCACTGGTGAATAACAATGATTTCCATGTAATTTATTAGAACGAAATGTGAAACACATGTAATACAGAGAATCCCGTGATTATCATCCAACTGGTTCTTGTGGAGAAGACAGAAATGAGCGCAGTCTAAATATCAGTGGAAATTCAGTCCATCAGAGTACAGTAATGCAACACTGAATGCAAAATTGTTTATTTCTGAAGAAACTTACTTAGTGTTGTTGGCAATGTCATCGTAAATCATGGTGATGATGTTCTCGGGTGGAATTCCATTTTTCCTCAAAACATGATAAGCGTGACATACATCAGCCTGAAAATGAGAAATATGCATAGGTCCTTCTTCATCAGATTTTCTCAGATTACCTTGCCCACTGGTTGCTGAATTGCTTGTACAGGATTGAAATGCTCCGGTAGGAGTAGCTGTGATCTATTCATAATCGAATCAAAAATTACTACATTACTCCAACCAAACGCGTTTCTATAAGGGGATTTAACATAAATGTTTACTCTCACAGAGAGTAACTTTAACAACTTCTGACAAACGTTAGTACAGCTGGATTCGTTTATTTTCATTGTTTATTTCTTGCCCATGCAATATCGCATATTACCCATCCACCGCTGGATATGAGATTTAGAAAGTGTCAATAACGGGAGTATGCCTCCACGACACAGCTCTATATTTGGGATACATATGGGGAACATACATTTTTGCAGGTCACCAATGATTTCAGTCTGAAGTCAAATCAGGTGTTTGCTTTTTACATATCCGTGGGAAGATATTTGACAGTGAACGGCTATATTCCCAACAATTACACGAAAACCAAACACACCATTACCAAAAATAAAGAATACAAAGAGAAGGGGTGACTTGTGAACTAAGAAATTGGGATGGGATAGCCCAACCTCAGCATCCTTTGCATACGTTTTAACGAAGTAACAGTCACTGACAGGCATGAAGGACGTGTAGGTTGAGAATGGAAACAAGGATAGGATTGCGCCTTATAGGATATCTTGGATGGAAACGGCGATGGAAGAGGTTCTGCCTCCGTATCGTGCAAAATGTTGTCGATGAAAAGAGCAATCAGATAATAGTCCAATAAGTGAGGGTTATATTCCGTTATGCGAGATGACGTTGAGAATTACTTATTTATCATCTCTTTTAAGGGCGCCCTTATAATTTGGGAAGCAGGTTCATACAGAATGTTATTTTTTGTCCAGTGAAGACAGTATATTATGAGTCAGTGAAGCAATGACATCCAGGGTACAACAGGATAGACGGTATGCGAGCTGGTTTATATTTCGTATTGTACAATAATTGGTCAGTCCTTGGAGTAACAACTTCTCAGACACCTTTGATGTAATGGAGATACATCCAGTTGGAAGGAATTTGGTCGTTCCTTTCTTGGGCATTGTTTTGATGTAAGCTGATCCCCAACAGTCAGGAATCTTTCACAATCCAGGCGCCGACTAAGTAATTGTGTTGTTACTGGTGTAAGTATTTGCGCACATCGCCTACGTACAACTGAAAGGAGATTATCTGATCCGTGGGATTTGTTTCATTTGTGATTTGACAGTTCTTCGTAAACAGCTTGTTGGAGATGGAGCCGGTAAATGTGGGATAAGATAGTGCATTGAGACAGGTGAACCACGAAGAACGGGACTACGTGTTGAAGTCGCGGTTTAGATGTTCGAAATTTACGTTCGTGGATAAGTATCTCGTGGAGCTACCACTCAAATATTTAATGGATATCCAAAGTTCTTGGTAAATACTGTTGGCTAAGAGCACACGACTGTAAATACCATTTGGTCTGAGGATTTTTGATTTAAATGACAAAGAAAGGATTGCCACTGTTCGGTGTTTCTCACTATTTGAAACACTTTCCTACCTACGGCGTAATATTTGAGGGACGGAGAGGGGAATCGGTCAAAACGGAAGTATATGGTTTCCAATTAGCAACACATAGCGCATCATAAGTTCAAGTAACTAGTGAGATGCTCGCAAAACACAGTAGGGTCCTGATGGTTGATGTCGAAGTTAGTCTGCTTGATTATACCTCGAAATCTTTGTAGGATCTGTGGATCAAATTGACTAATTTCGCGCTACAGTTCACGACAGTGGGTTAGAACATTATGTTTACCTGATCTACACATCACTGATGTGAGCAGTTTTGTGACGTCATTTGACGTCCTCAAAGGGGACCTGCGTGCGGTTCGAACTAGATCGGGGTTGTTTGTGGAACAGTGATCAAGGTAGTCGTCAGTCCTAGTTACACAGTTCACAACGATTTTCGGAGCAAGTATTTTTAACAGTTCTATCCAAGAATAGGTGGAATCATCACAAGCAAAGGTCGGCGAAGAAACAATGTAGCTTAAAAGTCTTGAAGAGAAAATTTTCGAGGAGTCCTTCAAAATAATAATAGAGCAAGTGTGAGTAATATGAATGTTTGTAATAAATTAGGAGCAGTATATAATCATACCTCTGGGTTTTGATAACATCATAAAAGCACTGATGTAAGAACTTGAGTGCATGAATATCACCTGGACAGAACTACTGCAACTGCTTTTAAGGTACGTAATAAACCCGTCCACGTTCTGACGAGGTGAGAATCGGTCAGCGCGGCAGCGGACTTAGCCATTGAGATGGATAATTTTTCGTCAAATTAACCATCGAGCCATGCTTCTTGTAGCAGTGTGTTTCTATGTTTTCCATATTATTGACGAAGAACTGAAGTTTCTAATGTGTGAGTGCACATTTGAACTGAGAATAATTGACATGCATATGAGTGATATTTTCGCTGCCGAAAAGCCACCTTCAATGGAACAAGGTGTTTCTTCGACAGTGTGTATGCTGTATTCTGTTTCTAACTGATTTCTCAATACATTTTTTGATGAAATTGAAGACTTGATGAGTTCCACAAATTCGCCAGAGTACTTTGACATCTCTCAACGGGACAATGGTCGTAATGGCAACATGGTTTGAAAAATGAAAACCGGTACTGTTTTGGTACAACCTATGTGTTAATAATCCCTTGAAACGCCTCACTGCTGACAGTATTTGGTGAGACAATTTGAATAACCCCTATCGAAACAATCAGACCACTAGTGTGATAGTCCATTGATTCACTTAAGGACACAGAACGAATAACGAATATTTAGTCGTGTATTCACTATCAGCATAAGCAATAAACGATGAAACCTAATGAGACAAAGAGAACATTTAATAATTTTGGCTTACCTGATGACGATAGTTTGACCAACCATTAGAACCGGCCACAAGCACAGCCCAGTGTGTTCTCCCATTGTCCTCCAAACCGAGAGTAAAGCTAATCAGCAAGCTGAGTATTAGCAAAATGAACTGCATAGTTTAGCGGTCTTACGCTACTCCAAATGCCCGAAGTTGGGTGCTAACTTATATACAGTCTTTATTAAACCACTGCGCCCATCGGTCATATTCTATTCTGGAAAGCTAGGACTGAGGACTGAAAAGTCACTTCGCCATCTGTGATTTTTTAAAATGACCTTTGATTAGTGTTTTTAGTGAGAGGGCACTTCATTTGAATAGTCGAATTTCCGACTTGAAACACCATCGAGTATTTTTCTCATTGATATATTACGATGGATGTCTCAGAGATAAACTATGCTTAAGTTGGCATCCAAAGGAGTCTGTTTTTATTCATCACATATGAATGCGGCTTTTTTGATATTTCGATGGCAGACGTTCCTTTATTAATTTGTTGTGAAGACTTTGTACTATGATTTAGACCTGATCTGTTTCTGAAATTTATATCCAATTTTTGAAACAAATTTTGCACTTCGATGTAAGAATAGAACATCTAGCAATCACTGGAGCAAGTAAGTCACTAACCAGTGCGGCATTTTCACACAGCTCAGTCTCATCACAGACTAAGCGTGTTCTAGGCTTTCGGTGATCGGTAAAACTACGGAGATGACAATCAAGACCAGCTAAATGAAGCTGTTAGCATCTGCTTCCAGTGTATACGTAAGTCTGTGTAGTGAAAAGCGAGTTATGTGTTCGTAGGCTTCCCCGGGAACATGTTCAATATATTTGGATGTTATCGCGTAAGTGCGAATTGCTGAAAAAAAATTGTTCTCCAAACGGTACTTAACATAAAACACAAATATGACCGAAATGACAAGACGAAAATTCTTCCCACGACCCGAGGTTGCTCTGTCCAAACCGCTCCGCAAACGTAGAATCTTATTCCGTGAAAACCTTTGTAACCCGCATATTGTCAGTGTAGAGATTACTCAATAAATTAATGCCACAGTAGACAGCCCTTACTTGGAAAACCACTGTATAGCACCTTCGTAAATTGTTGTTAGGAACCAGCTCTTTCCACAGTTTGTTCTACAATGGGTAACAAATCTAAAGAATTCAAATCATTCGCAACCAGTGTCGAAAATAATTTAGATTGTACATAGCAACTTGTTACTGATAATGTTGTAGTATGCAAAGATCAGTGTCTTCCAACGGAGTTGCTCGTAATCGATCTGAAAAATAATAAAACAGAGAATTCCATGAGCACAAAGGCTCAGTAAATGCATCAACAAGATCCTACACTTACACTAATCGAACACCAGTATGGCTGCTAACAGCCTGCTCACTACAATGTATATGATGTGTTAGAAAAGTTGCTCAAGTGATTCACGATATGGCATAACAGTATGCTAGCAGCGTTCTGAGAACTCAGCGTCTCAGAGACTGGATTAGGTAATCTAGAGAAAAAATCAAACTGACGGATTGTTTACTGGGAGAAAAGTGATCAGTTGCGCTCACATTTGTGAGTCAGTGCCATCTACACGATATCGAGTTTTAACATTTTTTGAGTTCTTCTACATCGATACGCAAGAAAACCCGGAATACCTTCCTCATTGGAAAGGTCACGAAGTGAAATAATCAAAGACATTCCTAGGACCTTTCAGTAATTCTCCGGCGCACATACCCACCTTACTCGCCATCCTGTGATACTGCCTATTGGTTGATTTTCAAGAAACTCCTTCGATATATTGAGTGCTTTCTCGGAAATCGGGGAATATCAGCAAATGTTTCACGGGCATCGCCTTAGGAAAATTCTTATGCAATTGACCTATAACTTTCGACGTACATACCGCCACATGTTTTCTAAATTCAAAATGAACTTACAAACTAGTGTTAAATAAAACCAGTTTCCTTTTCTGAATTCATTTGTAATTCGAGGTTGGTGTTTCTTAACTAAGCTAAAGGGGTCAACTACGCAATAAGTTTGTTATGAAGTTGTCAACTAAAAAGGAGCTTAGTTCTGAGCCCATAGTCACGCTATCAAGCGGTTAACTAAATCCAACCTAATTCACTTCTGGCGATTTGGATATCTGTATGCACTACAGAAAACGATGGGAGTAGTTAGATTTTGAAATCCGGTGAAAAAATGCTTTAGGTTGTCTACGTGAGAAGGCGCCAAATGATGACGTTATTTGCTAAGTAAAGAGTCGAAAATACTTCACTTTACGGCGATGCGATCTCACACAGCTATCCGCATATCCCTGGGACATTGTTATAGGTATGACAACCAATGTGAACATATCTATGTTGAATAAACTGTTCATGCTGATCACGTTTGCCCGACCTTCAATAGAAAATCCAAGTCAAATCTTGTTTGGTTGTATTTCATCCATTAGCATTGTATCTGTAGTTAACGTGTTTACAGATCAGTTATATATAACTGCTTCAGTCTTCTGACTTTTAATGATTGCAATGAATGTTTACCTACCGGAAAGAAACATAATATAATGCAGGTCATTTTTTCACTTAGATACTCCCAATGAATCTGCTGAAGGTATATGGTGATGGACTATGGACAACACGTTGCCGGTAGCACTGATTCGACTGAAAAAAACAATTTATTATGAAATTTCTATTTGTAGATATCGTTACCAGTCTGTCTAAAACCGGTAGCTCAAATTGAGATTTAAATATCAAACTACTTGCGAGAAGAGAACATTCGCGTTGATTCACATATGTTATCAAATATTTCTAAAACAACTTAACATCGATACGCCCAGTGGTCCAAACTATAACCATTCGGGGTAGAATATCAAATTGTCAATTTTGATAGGAGGGATTGGAAATAATTCCACACACTCATGATTGCATTCGCACATAGACGATCGAAGAAGCATATGATGCATACTGATGGTTCATTTCTCGTCCTCGTTTGAAATCAGTAGCATCAGCAGTGGCTGTGTACATATGTCAGGTCACTCGTGAATCTTGCACAACGTAGCCAATAACAAGTGTTAATATATTTTTCGCCGGCAAACTGCATGATCCATTCAAAGCTCTTAGATATGATCTCGTTGATTGAAGATAGACCATAGGAGCTCAGAATTTGGTTCAGTTAAAAAGTTATGTTTAAAGAACTTCCCTTAATACATTTACCCAGTATATAACCAAAGGTTGCCCCTAATTCTGTATATACGAATTCGGTAAAGCGATGATTTCTCCAGTCGTTTTCAGATACTCATTCACATTCGGGACCACCAGCGGACGGTTTATTCAAGCAAACAACAAAACGAGACGTTTTGCTATTAAGGTAGTCACAGTCCTCAAATATGAACAAGCGGTCCAACTGTGATTCGAAGCTGGTTGATAATACGAATGATGGATTAGGTGTGAGCAACCAGACTGTAGAAAACTTGGACATCCAAGACGGATGCGTGCACTCCAGCGACAGAGGTAGGAGAGGCGCTTTAATTGCTTTCCTTTAGAGACGGGTGGAATTTCACTAAAATTTGGGAGTAGAGTGTAGATTCAGTTCCATACTGCTAGTTATCGACAAACCTAAAGAACCCAAGTTATCAGGCAACTGAACAGGGTGCAAACAGATAGACTCCATGCGGATACTGCTCAACCACTATCGCTCGTCTTCCCAGTTCAGTCTGAAGAAATGTATAGTGCGTCCATAAGACATGAAAATGGTGCAAATGATTGATGTAGGATCATGACAATAGTAATGTACAAGACCAAGTCTAATATAAGGCATTCAGACTAACAACAGCGTTGAAACCACTTCGAACTTGTAATCAGGGGGGAAATTTGCATACATGGGTTTGTGAAACAAATCGCCTTTGGCAAGTCTACGAATGATTTTGTACAAGATCACTCAACGCTAGAATGACTTGAGAGCGGCAGTGGGCCGTTGTTGAAATTTCAACAAGGATTTGTTTTGTGTTTTGTTCATTTTTTCCGCGGATTTCCGGGAGCAAGCTGATGATGTTATTATCAACTTAACAAAGTCGTCATCTCAATTATCAGTTAAAAGTTGGGATCTAAGCGCCAAGCTGAGTGGTCAAGTACCCGCACAAGTTAATAACCTATTTTTTTGTGCTACATATTTTAGGTAAACCGATCATGCTTACACTTGCTATTTACTTATCCACTTCGAATGTTGTACCTGTTAGATTACAAGATGAAGGACGAATGATATTTCAGTGTTCTCAGAAATAAGCTCATAAACGGTAATTTCAATTTGTGAGTTTCCCCTACGTGGGAAACAAAACCGTTTTCCTCAATTATTCCTACCCTCTATGGTATTAAGTGTTTCATCCATATAAATGTCCTTTGTCTACAAGCTTCAATATTGTGACAACAATACCGTATGAATGAAAAATGACCGCATTTCTGACATGATCAAGTACAGATATTAAGTTGAGTGAAGAAATTTCCGTGTATTATTCTTCCAAAACACACCGACCAGGTGAAACGCTTCCTTGTCAAATGACAGGTCGATGTCGCCGTTGTATCTCATATTGATATTAGATTGAGGTTTACACCGCATACTCCTTGTCGCCTCATCGGTAGATTGGGTGTTTTTCACTCAATCAGTCAATGCTACAATGACATAGAGAAGAATATTATGACCCACCAGCCCGTCCCTTACCGAGTAATCGAAGTTACCCATGATGCTTTCTAAACATTCAAAAGTCCTCATGACTGCGAGCTTCTTTGAAAGCAATTCACGTGCACGTTTTAATTCAACTTTCCCATATTTTCAGTCATCTACGAATTTCGGATGGGGTTTTGCCAGTTCATCTTAGAGCAACTCAGCAACAGGCCACGTATCGCAAAGAAAGAAACATTCTTGTGAAATCATTCATTAGTCAGTTCAAATGCTACTTATCGATTCCAAATCTTAAGGTGTACTGAGTATCCGTTGCGTCCTTCTTGGAAATCCAAAAATGAGTTGCATATCCGTATAATCAAAAAGAGAACGGAGATTTGTGAATCATATTCATCGACAATAGCAATCATTCAGCCGTGACTTTGAAGTCATAATCTACAAAAACTGAACTTCTCGGATCATTGTTGTTCGCCTTTGTGCTACGAAAATCCGCCTCATACTTCGTATTATTTCAGGACAGAAGTTCAATCGTGTTATACATCCTATACGGAAAAGGAAGGTGTTGAGAAACATACCAGTTAGCATTACAACGGATTCATAACAACATGTAAACTGGAAATTGAACATATGCGTCAGTTGAATAAGCAGATGATGTTAAACTGATTATATGAATTGCGGTAAGCTGCCCGAGAATTTATTCAGACCTTTGTTTAATTAGTGATCGCCCATATTCAAACGTCTGCTTGTTGCACCAAATCCCTAAACAAGATGCTAGCAACGATCAATTGATGAGATTTCTGAATTCATCCCTAGTGACGATTCGTTTGGAACAATGTGGCCACAGTGCCTCAATAGCACAATTTTACAACTTAGAAGAATGATTACAAAACGGAGAAAAGTGTCATATGAAGCGACCTCAGACAGCATTCACAAAACTATCTAAACTGCATACATTTGGTGTCTGATGGTAGAGAACTTTGATCCCCAATTGAGTTTTGTACGCGACTACATACCTAGTGATATCTACGATACAGCTTCCTCACAGTCGAAACGCCTCTTGATCAATGGAGACTGCGAATACCATACACATGCAGTTGAGTTCATCAAACGAATAACTACGGCCCATTGCGATCAAGTTCTCGGTTGATGTACTTTGTTCGATCCAACCGTTGAGTTTATCATTCTTGATATACGACTTTGTGGACAAAGCAATCCCTCCCCACAATCCTCCATCCTTGTGCTCAAAAATAATGCGGGCGTGCGTCTCAGTCCCACTGGCTAACACTCCACAATACAACAGACCAAGAACCAGACGAAAACTGGCGTGACACGTGTTAAACAATCCACATCCGGTCTAGATTTAGGTTACGTTCTCCTATTTGTCTATTTGGTTCAATCCCTTTAATCGTTTCCATAGATTATCATGTAATTAAATAATACTGAATCACTGAAAACGAGCTCGTGCGCATATCCATGTTTTATAAATAAATATATACGTGTACAATTAGTCGATAATCGGTATGCTTTCAATCGGCGTGGCGAACAAACTGGTCTCCAATAATTTGTGCTCACACCAACACATATCAGTAGATATGATTCAAAAACAAGGAAGGGTACTGATTATCCATATCTGTCGTTCTATGTGCATGTGTGCGTATGCGTGTGCGTGTGCGTGTGAAACTGATCACAGTGCAGCATGTTGTATTGGTTGCACACGTGTTCGGAAACATGAGGTGGTCCAAGGGAGCTTGGGTGCTCGCACACATTGTTTCGCAACACAAAGGGGATATCGTTGAGACAAATACTCACGGGCTCGAATGTGGTCAAGATACAACACTTGAAAGTATTGATTCCTTGCATTGAACTTTGAAAATCGTTTGTAAGGCGCATATCACATCGATGTACTAGTCTTGAAAATAAGACTTATCATCTTCTATGTACTGAAACTGAAGTGGCATGTGTCACACTTTATTCAACCAGATATATTATGCTTCGATTTGTCTCATATAATTTGCCACGTGCTTCTGTTATTCTATTGTTTGGTTTGCTTGTTGAAGATCTCGAAAGTAATTGTTAGATTCCCCAAATATCTTTCCAGATACAGTGGAATATCTCCACGCCAACTCACTCAATTTATCGTAATTCAGCTCAATCACACTTGCGTAGCGTGTTTCTAAAATATAATTACTGCCATGAATATCTCATTTCTCCAGATCTCACTAACTACTCTGATATTTCCT